TTCATCCACACTTAATGATACCATATAGAAACAATGGGCATTTAACAAATAGACAGAAAAATTTCAATTACTGTCTATCATCTACTAGAATGGCAATAGAGCGAGCTATAGGTCATTTAAAGATACGATTTCGGATTCTCTTAGATTGTTTACCGTTGACTGATGTTAAGAAAATTCCGGAGTTTATTTTGGCCTGCTGTGTATTACACAATGTTTGTATTCTAAAAGATGACCTATTCGATGTATATATCGCGGTAACGAAGATGTTGTAGTTCCGATGTTACATGATAACTTGGTTGATTTAGGTAATGCTAAAAGAATCGAAATAACAAATAGCTTACTAATAAGATATAACGAAAATGTATAATGTATGTCAGAAATATATTAATAAAATTATTAAAATTTGCAAGTGTAGTAAATAAATAAGGCAAAACAACTTTATGGATTTTTTATTTCCATCATTCTTTAACATTTCAGTATACGACATATATATATTACTAACTGTAGCTTATTAACTTTATAGTCACAGCGTTATTAGTATTTACAGTACAATAGCTTATTAAAATATAAAGCATCCATAAACAAAAATAATCTATTTTATATAAATCTATAAATTAACATTTTATTAAATTAAAAAATAACTTTTGAATTAATAAATGAATGCCTTTTTGAAGTACGAAAATATTTTAAATTTGCTGTTTTACTTAAAAAGTTTTAAATTTAATTCCGAAATTTTGGCAAGATGCAGATACGCAGATCTATTTTAAGAACAAATAAACGAATATTTTAATTATTTTTTAAAGAGTGTAAAAAAAATAAAATAAAATTACAGAATTTCAGTTCCAATTATTTGGATTTAGCAGCTAACTCGCTCAAGATTTGAACTAATGATTTTTGAATTTCGATTTTTTCCTTGTGCATTTGTTCCCTCTCTTCTTTATGTTTTTCATATCGTTCTTCTTTCAATCTGTTAAATTCTTGTCTCTCAATCTCTCTTTTAATCCTTGCTTCCTCTCTTTCTTCTTTTATGTCTTTAATAAAAGACTCAAGAACAGTTTCTACTCTGCGCTTTTTCTGTGGATCTGTAATAAAAATTAATTAATATCTAAATGTTAAAGATGTAAATAAAATATAAAATTTTAATTGTTTCAATGTTATTTACTTGACGACAAGGGCGAATCTATTATTGATTCAGTTGAACTTGACGTTGACGATGTGGATTCAGCTGGCCCTTCGCTTGATGCAATCGCTGGGGGAGTTATATACGCCTTTTTTCCAAGTATAGAATCTATGACCTTTACATAATCAAATCAAAGAATTTTAGAAATATCAAATTTAATATGCTGCACTGCCTAGTGTTATTTATTAACAGTTAGAATTCCTTAATCTATTCATTAATCTAGCTATTTTCAGCATAAAAATTCTTTAAAAACCCAGTGTTATTGTACTTCAGTCTTAAAATAAAAATGCTATGTTTAAAAATATTTACCGAAAAAAATGCCCATGAATTGCGACAATTGCCGCTTTTCTTATTTTGGTCGACTATGTTTTCAATATATGTCCTTTTTAAACCAGAGAGTTTTGCCGAGCATTGCTGTCCTGTGATGTTGTACTTTCCATTGGAATGTTCAATCATTTTGGACGCAATCTCGGACCAAATTACATAGTGTCGTTTCATCCCCGTAGTGAAATCTGTCTCTCTTTCACGATATAATTCCAAAAGCAAGTACACAGCAGCGTCAGGCCATAAAAATTCCTTCGTTGATGAACCAGCTGAATTTTCATTATTTTCATTCTCTTCGCAATAATTGGATGTTTCAGACGTTTCAGCAGGTACCCTTGAAGTATTATTCAATTCCTTTGTCACAAGTGTTTTAAGCAAATTTGGATCTATAAAACAAACGTTTTTATTATATATATATATATATGTGTGTGTGTGTTTGGATAATATTTGTCTTAGATATTAGAAAGTGAAATATGTATATACATTTTATAAAATCTAAAAATTTGTATATAACCTAAAAATTTGTTATTCTATATATTATCTTTATGTCCTACCTTTTGTAATCTTATTAAGCTCATCTTTAGACAATAATGTTTCAACATCATTCGTTTCTTCAACGATGACAGGAAATTCATGTAATTCTTCTTCCTTTACTTTATTGCCCGGAAGATTTGTCACGTCGAAGTCCTCTTCGTTTGGAAGTATGTTATCTTCTGCCTCTTCAATTGTGTCTGCAACCTCTGGTATTTCGGAAACATTTTGCTCGGTTGCCGTCCACCAAGTGGCTCCTACGCAGGATTTTTCCATTCTCTGCACATAGAAAAATTTTACAGTACTAGCACTGCATTAACAGTTAACAATAGTATTTATTCCATACATACTTACCACACTGTGGATAAAAATAATTATTCTTGTCCACATGATAATGTATGGAATATATCAAACATTAAAAAGAAGTTATGTATAAAAACGTATCACTGCAAATTATTTCAGACAAATACACAATCAATTAAAATAAAAAATACATTATACAAACCTGGTTCCTTTCGCTGTCGCTGTCGCTGTCGCTGTCGCTGTCGTTGTCGTTTAACTTCTTACTGATTATTACTGAAATAAATTATTAAAAATTAACACAAATTAGCTGATAAATATAACAACACAGCGTTTGGACGCTGAAGTTGGGCAAGTTTGAACTTCCAGCGTCAAATCGCTGAAGAGACACATTTCATGCGCATCAACAGATGCGCGTGACCAAGGCTGCCGGAGTGGGGATGGTCGCTAGCGTCTTGACGCTGCGTGAAATTGCAGCCTTCAAACTTGCGGTAGCTGATGCGCGGTTCATGCGTGAAGATGGAGGGGATCTAGGGAATTCTGTGTACTGTCTATGCGCGCATTAGTTGGAAACGGAACACTATCCATGCAATTAACAAAGAGTTTATATACATAGAGTAGGGGAGACCTGGCGGCGCCTTTGACTGGAACCGTGAGCTGATAGAAAGAGAAAGAAAATGGAAGAGCGAAGGGTACATCCATCTTTTATCTTTTTCTCGCATGCGCAATTGAACAAGGATGCAGATGGGCGACTCGTTT